TTGAGGACTGAATGTAAACTTTCCAGAACTTGTTTTCATTATGGTTCTGTTGTACTTAGATGGAAAGTCTGGTCATTGTATATCTGACACTTTGTTTTAACAAGGTATTCCTGCTGAGACATTTCAGATTCGATTTTAGTACAGATTAGAGCCGTTTTCATTTTCAGCATATGCTTCAAATATGTAGCAGAACAAAAATATTCAATAGACTCTTTCTCATCCGTCGTTATTTCAGTTAGTAGTTTTTGACTCTCTTGCATCCAGCATTTTTTAAAGCAATATGAAGGAAAAAGCAGTTCTGTTGTATTTAAGCAGTTTACTATTTTGTCAGTAATTAGATACAAGAAGATTATCATGTGTAAACATTTGGAATATTTTCTTTAAAAATTTTCTTAAATCTAAAAAAGAAGACAAGTAGTACAGAGGTGTATAAAGTTAATATCCCTGTCCCTTCCTCTTTCCAAACTTGCCCTGACATGTAAACAGTGTTAATTTTGGTTTGTAGCCTTCCACACCTAAGAAATATCTTCAAGCCAAGGCTACATGCAGCTCTGTGCTTGTTACCTCTTCCAGGGATTTTCCTTTTTATCTTCCAGCAAAGTATAGGCACAGTTACCCCCATCTTGAGGCTTTCCTTTACCCAGTTGCTTAAGCCAGAAATCTGAGAGTTACTTGATTTCTTTCTTTCCCTCATTTCCCACATCCAGACCATCCACAAGTCTTTAGGATTGTACCTTCCCAATTCAATTTAATCCATGCATTTCTTTTCATCTCCCATTGCCTCTGCCTAACCCAGGCCACATTTCACTGAAAACTACACAGCTAATAAGTAGTGAAGTCAGGATTCAACTCCAGGTTTGTCTGATCCTAAACCCTGATGTTTCCTGCATACTCTGCAGACCCTGTAGAAGGATAACAGCTTATTAAACAAACCTTTAGACTCTAGACCTTGGCTCCAGCGTGCGTGTAGCAGAAATCAAAGAAATAGATAATAGAAGCCAGGTAACTGCCCATTTATCATGCTGTTTTGTGACTTTTAAGTTAATCTAAATCAAAGCAAGCCATTTTGTGTATTCAGACAGCTAATTTAGATAGAATCCATTAAAAGTTAAATGAGGTCTTTAAGTTTTTGAGTGCATTCTTTTGGCAACACATTGTTTTATACATTTCGTAGAAAATGTGTCAAGGGAAATGATCTAATGGTCAGGAGCCCATTCGCACCTTTAGAGGAAGCCTCTCTTCCCCCTGGTTGTCATTACCCCTCACCCCCAGTCCCATAAAGAAATAGAGAGGAATGAACTTGAAGCTCCTCTTCTTTGGTGTTTTAAGATGTGACTTTCTGTAAACTGATTAAGCTAGGTTTTCTAAGCGAGCAGTTCCTTAACCTTGAATTAGTAAAACATTAAAATATTTAGGGCATCTACCACTGACCCTTTTTCTGCAATGTAGCAGTTAATCCAGCAGTTTCTGATTAAATACTGGTGTTAGGCAATTCAAGAATTACAACAGAGGCCCTGAGGGAGGAGGGCAAGGAATAGTTGAGTGTGTGAGAGGAACCCCAGATAGCAAGTTAAATAAAACTTACCGCTTTTATAAGAACAAAACCCAAATGAATGCTAACTCATCCTTTACCTGGCAGTTGGTGGTTATTTCTGTGTCAGTGGGATTACTCAAGTTCTTGCTTCGATTATTTGTTTTGTTGTTGTTGTTTTGTTTTTTTGTTAATTCTCACTCAAGGATATTTTTTTCATTGCTTTTCAGAGAGAGAGTGGAAGGGAGGGAGGGGGAGAGAGAGAGAGAGAGACATTGATGTGAGACACATTGATTGGTTGCCTCCCCCAATGGGGAGCAAACCCATAACCCAGGTACGTGCCCTTCACCTGGAATCTAACCCTCGACCCTTTGGTGCATGGGCCGACGCTCTAACCACTGAGCCACTCTGGCCAGGGCTGGGTTTTCTGATTCTTAAGAAAACATTATAGACATGTATTTTTTGTGTGATAATGAAATCATAATTTTAAAACTATATATTCTAAATTAAAATCTTGTTCAGTACGTGCATATTTATACTTGTAATTTGTGTCTATATAGTTTTGATTCAGCTTTATTGAGATATAATTCATATACCATACAATGAACCCATTTAAAGTATACAGTTCGGTGGTTTTTAGTCTATACACAGAGTTGCTCAACCATCACCACAGTCTAATTTTAGAACACTTTAATCATTCCATGAAGAAACTTTGTACCTGTTACCAGTTACTCCCTAACCCTCTTTCTCTCTCTCTCCCTGCTACAAACCTTAGGCAACCACTAACTTACTTTCTGTTTCTATGGATTAGCCTCTTTTGGACATTTCTTATAAATGGAATTATATAGCCCTGGCCGGGTGTCTCAGTTGGTTGGAGCATTGTCCCGTGCCCCAAAAGGTTGCGGGTTTGATTCCCGGTCAAGGCACATACCTAGGTTGGGGGTTTGATCCCTAGTTGGGGCGTGTACAAGAGGCAACCAGTGTTTCTCTCTTCCCCTTCTTCTCTCTAAAATCAATAAAAACATATCCTCAGGTGAGGATTATAAAAAAGAAAAGAATTCTAACGCTAAATTAGCAACTTCATTCAAAAATAAAAAGTACCTTTAAAAAAAGAAAGAAATGGAATCGTACTGTGTCATCTTTTGTGACTGGCTCCTTTTACTTAGCATAATTTTTCTTTTCTTTTTTTAAATATATCTTTATTGATTTCAGAGAGAGGAAAGGAGAGGGAGAGAGAGATAGAAACATCAGTGATGAGAGAGTCATTGATCAGCTGCAGCCCACAACCTGGGCATGTGCCCTGACCGGGAATCGAATCCCAATCACCTGGATCCTAGGTCGGCGCTCAACCGCTGAGCCATGCCCGGCCGGGCAGCATAATTTTTCAATGTTCATCCAAATTATAACCCATGTGTTTTACTGATTATATTATGTGTAATCAGGTAACGGCTTTTACTCCCCCTTCCCTATTTTGCCATTAGTTAGGAATTAATGACTTAACTGGATATAGCATTTTACTGAAATGGCTTCTGAGTTTTTTGAGAGTTACTTCAGAATAATAATAAACAGTACTTTTAACCAGCATCTTTGAAGACTTGTTGAAAGTTATTTCTGGCTTTCTCCATAGACTTCATGGTGAAGAGGGCTCTGTTGGGCCTTACCAAGTGTCAGAATGCTCTCTTCTAACAGCTGGCTCCCTTCAACCGCCATTTCCCGCTTCCCCTCCTCCCTCCTTTTTAAACTTGGGGCATACATGATGGAATTTAAGATTTGTTCCACTTGGATTTTTAGGAAAATTCTACCTCATGTTGAACTCAGGGAAGTCAACTGCTGCATTCATTAACTGGATTACAAATAGCTTATTGTAAAGTTATGTTTGTTCTTTTCTCCCTGAAGGGATGTGTAAAACAGGATATGTAATTTTTATAATGAATAGCTTTTAGAATGGGGGGAGGCTGGCGATTATTTAACTCTTCGGGCACACCTACAAGTTTCCCCTTTTTTGTTGCCCTATAAGCAAAAAGTGATTTACATTTTATAAAACCCATTATAGACTTTGTCTTTGCCCTGGGGCAAGGATATATGTATCTCCTAGGGATTGATTAGACCTGTGCTGTCCTATATGATAGCCATTATCCACATGTGACCATTTACATTTTAATTAAAAGTAAATAAAAATTTAAAAATTTAGTTCAGTTGAATTAGCTATATTTCAAGTACTCATTAGCCTTATGTCACAAATGATTGCCATATTGGACAGTGGTAATGTAGATAATTTCTGTCACTGCTGAAAGTTCTCTTGGGCAGTGCTATACTAGACTGGCCATTTTTAAAAGGAGNATAATTTTTCAATGTTCATCCAAATTATAACCCATGTGTTTTACTGATTATATTATGTGTAATCAGGTAACGGCTTTTACTCCCCCTTCCCTATTTTGCCATTAGTTAGGAATTAATGACTTAACTGGATATAGCATTTTACTGAAATGGCTTCTGAGTTTTTTGAGAGTTACTTCAGAATAATAATAAACAGTACTTTTAACCAGCATCTTTGAAGACTTGTTGAAAGTTATTTCTGGCTTTCTCCATAGACTTCATGGTGAAGAGGGCTCTGTTGGGCCTTACCAAGTGTCAGAATGCTCTCTTCTAACAGCTGGCTCCCTTCAACCGCCATTTCCCGCTTCCCCTCCTCCCTCCTTTTTAAACTTGGGGCATACATGATGGAATTTAAGATTTGTTCCACTTGGATTTTTAGGAAAATTCTACCTCATGTTGAACTCAGGGAAGTCAACTGCTGCATTCATTAACTGGATTACAAATAGCTTATTGTAAAGTTATGTTTGTTCTTTTCTCCCTGAAGGGATGTGTAAAACAGGATATGTAATTTTTATAATGAATAGCTTTTAGAATGGGGGGAGGCTGGCGATTATTTAACTCTTCGGGCACACCTACAAGTTTCCCCTTTTTTGTTGCCCTATAAGCAAAAAGTGATTTACATTTTATAAAACCCATTATAGACTTTGTCTTTGCCCTGGGGCAAGGATATATGTATCTCCTAGGGATTGATTAGACCTGTGCTGTCCTATATGATAGCCATTATCCACATGTGACCATTTACATTTTAATTAAAAGTAAATAAAAATTTAAAAATTTAGTTCAGTTGAATTAGCTATATTTCAAGTACTCATTAGCCTTATGTCACAAATGATTGCCATATTGGACAGTGGTAATGTAGATAATTTCTGTCACTGCTGAAAGTTCTCTTGGGCAGTGCTATACTAGACTGGCCATTTTTAAAAGGAGAGAAAGACAAATGAAAGAGCAAAATAATAAATACCTGAATTTCCACCCTTCCACAGTGTGACATTTCCTGTCTTCTTGTTCCCTTGGTTAAAATTCAGAAAAAGGTCTATTAAGTTGAGTATCATCACTTTGACCTTGTTTTTTAATGTTTATTTCTGTTTCCCAGGCTGGCAGTGATGGTGAAAGCATCGGAAACTGCCCCTTTTCCCAGAGGCTCTTCATGATTCTGTGGCTCAAAGGAGTTGTATTTAGTGTCACAACTGTTGACCTGAAAAGGTAAGACTTAGTTGCAGTTTGGGGTCGGCTTTATTTGAGTATATACCTTACAGTGTTCAGTTTGATGCTCTCCCCACCCCTCACTTTGCTTGCCATATGTTCTCTAAAGAAAATATATTGTATTAAAGTTCAGCTGCTGTATGGACATATTTAACATACACTAAGCATTATGGTAACTCACAATATCAGTAAATTGCATGTGGCCACTCAGTCTTTCTAGGAACTTATTGTATGTTTACCTTAAATTTTAAGAGCATCACCAGGAGCTAAGTTTTAGTGTGGATGCAGTGAAATTTTTGCCTTTCCTGTGTAAACATGGGCCTGTGAAGAACTTTCCAAGCAGAGAGCTTCTTGGTCTCAAGTTTGCTAAACACATGGCCTATCTAAGCTGGATCCTTAAAGCAAGAATGGGATTTTAGGAGGGTAAATATGGTGTGGGCTATTTTATTTAACTTTCTTTTCAGGAAATAAAACAGGATTTTAAAAATAATACAATTTTAACCATTTTTGCTTAAATATGATTGTAAAATAGGAGCAGTTCGCTATGGCCGTGATTGGTCTTGCTTGTTGAAAAGCTGTTTCTGACTTTCTCACTCTGGACCATAGTGTGGAGGGGGAAGGCTGAGAAGAGCCCTGATAAGTAGTAAGCTCTTTTTACTCAGGAGCCTCTGTTCCTCCTAAGGTGAAGACCATTCATACTTGGAAAAAAAAAGATTTAAATCAAGGGTACAGAAAAGTTATACCAGCCCGGCCAGGCATAGCTCAGCGGTTGAGCATCAACCTAGGATCCAGGAGATCGCGGTTTGATTCCCGGTCAGGGCACATGCAGGGGGCAGCCGATCAGTGACTCTCTCATCATTGATGTTTCTCTCTCTCTCTACCTCTCCCTTCCTTTCTCTGAAATCAATAAAGATATATTAAAAAGAAAAGTTATACCAAAAGAAAATCTAGGATTCAGCGGTGGAAATGTATTCCTCTTGACACAAATGCCACAACATGGTTTGCTGCTTGTTTTTTAAGCATCTCAGTCATGAACAGTGTTCAAGAAAAAAAGATTGACAAGCTCTCTCTGATGGATGGCAGAATTCGTGTATGGTATCCCTCTGGGTGCCACAGAGTGAGAGTTGCATGAGAGCTGTGATTATATTCCCCGTTCTAGGTTAGCATACCCTGGGACCTCTGTCAGTTCCTTAAAATTTATTCTTTATTTCTGTTAGTGCACTTATATTTGAAATTTTGCATACTTAGAATTTATTTATTGAAAATAAGCCATGAAGTCTTCCAGGAACCCCATTAGTTATGTATATGAGTGTCCAGATAAGCCTTTGGGGATAGTATGAGTTAAAGCTACAGGCTCTTATAAAGACCTAGCTCACATCAGACGGAGCTATCATAAGAATGAAATAATTCATGTAGTTATCCTTCGATTACTGTTTTTTTCCTACATGTATTCACAAAGGAAGTTTCTGAATATAACTTCTAAAAATAGACCAGGCTGCCAGGCACACACCCTTACTGTGTCTTAAAATACATGTATTTCTCCTATTCCATTTTTGGGTAGGAGCAAGTGAGTTGACTACCATGCTTCCAGAAATCCTTTCAACAGCTCAATACAGTACTTGATTGTGGTACATACCAGTAGTGGTGCCGTAAATGATGACAGTCTGGTTCCGAAAAGAAAATTAACACATAATGGCTATTTTAAAGTCATCAGTTTCACTTCTTAAAAAAAAAAAAATATATATATTTTTATTGATTTCAGAGAGGAAAGGAGAGGGGGAGAGGGAGAGAGAGATAGAAACATCAATGATGAGAGACTCATTGATCAAACCCACAACCCAGGCATGTGCCCCGACCGGGAAATCGAACCCCGATCGCCTGGATCCTAGGTCGACACTCGACCGCTGAGCTACGCCCGGCCGGGTAGTTTCACTTTTCATTTACACACTTTGTAAAGGCATTGTTCCTGTAAGTTGAGTATTTGTATATGTTTAAGGGTAATGTACCTACCCTACATGTCAAAAGTGACATGTGCCCTGGCCAGTGTGGCTCACTTGGTTGGAGTGTCGTCCCTGCACGGAAAGTTGGCGGGTTTGATTTCCGGTCAGGGCATATACCCAGGTTGCGGGTTGGAGTGTGTATGGGAAGGCAACCAATTGATGCCTCTCCCCTCCCCCCCCCAATCCGTTTAAAAAAACAGTTATTTTAAAAGTGACACATGGGAAGTACAATGAAAGATTCAGGGCCTTCTATTAGAAGATGCTACCACTCAAAGAAATGTATGTTTATTTCCTAGGGCTTTGTGTAAAATCAACAGAGAACACTAACATGGGAGCCTCTATTTAAAAATTTTCTTTAGAAATCTTAGGTCTACAGTATATATTTTAAAAAGCTCCTTAAGGGCAATAAAACTACATAATAATGAGTCCCCTCCACCGCTAATCTTCAGCATCCTGTTCACAGATGTCATTGCATTTAGTTTGGTCTTTATCCTTCCAATCCTTTTCTATGAGTTTACTCCCTTCTGGTCTTTTGTAACTTTAGATTCCAAAGAGAAGGTGCTCCAGGAAAGTGAACATTGGCTCAAAAAAAACAAAACAAAACGAAACCCAGCATAAAATAAAGCTGTCACAGGGACTAAAACATCCTGTAGTGAAAAGTACCTCTCCACAATACAGCCCTAACTTTGTGGCTGTTTTTGGAAAGCTGTGTGGGAGACATGCCTGCAGTGCTTGTTTTCCTGCTTCTCCTGATAATTGCCTAATTCCTCAGTGAAAAGTACTGATCCCAGAAGAAACTGGTGGTGAGCAATAGAACTCTCCCGAGAACTGTTTAGAAACCCACTCTGTGCTCTGAAAAAATGATTGTTACGTGACATTTCATCCATAAAAAACAAGCCAGTTCTGGCACTGGGTGCCACGTTCTCATCGAATCGCAGTTGGTGTTAATGACTCTGCTGCTGGTATTCGAGTGCCTGTGAAACCTGGAACAGCCTCCCCTTGCTTGCCTGCCAGTGCTGCCCTAATGCTTTAGTGGGAGTCATTTCTAAAACTAATTTTCTGTTCATGCTACAACTGCATTACAGATCTTTTAGATTAAAAAAAATGCCCAAGCTTTAGAAGACCTTTGGGTTTTACATCAACTACGATTTGAACAAAAACTTCAGATAAGTGAAAATATTAAAATTTGGGGTGCATATCTAAAGATATTTTTACATGTCACCAAAGGGGAGCAACCGTGCATAGTAGAAAGTTTTAGGGGTAGAGACCTGGTTCTGTTTGGAGAGAGCCCTGTGACCTTGGGCAAGCTACATCATCTGGGAGGTCAGTTGTCTCATTTTTAAATTCAGGAAAAAGGAATGGACGCCTTAACTAACATTTCTTCAGTGTCTATTATGTGCTACCCACTGTTCAGGGTACTTTTTACTACTCTTATTAAACCATTTTCAGACCTAATATTGGATAGAATCGTTTTATCACACTGGTATTATAGGGCCTTTCGGGCTGACAGGTTCCTGGCAGCAATCAAGATCTTTATTTGAAGACTTCTACTGTCCCAGAAGTTCTTAAATCAGAGGTCAGCATCTTTAGAGAACAGATAAGCCTGAGAGGTAGGCAAGGAAGAAAAGAAAGTATGAGGACTGGGGG